TATATATAAAGGTTTACTGTGTGAATACTGTTGCTTGTATGAAGGTTTACAGTATTTAAGGTTTTACTGTATATACGTGTTATAAAGGATGACTGTTTATACTGTGACTAGGATGGTTAGTCACAGATGTCAGTGACTAAAGAAGGCTGAGTTATTTACACCATGCAACCATGAGACAAGTGGAACTCAAATGCATGGAAAACAACCAACTCAACAAATAACTTGGCTGAACTGAGGAATACAGAAGTCATATGAAACCTAAGGCAATATCACATGCACACAGCTACACTCTGTCTTCTCTTTTGACTGGCCAAAAGAAAAATAACTCCTTAAATAACTCCTGCAATAATCAGTGCAGGCTAAACTGCAGGGGTGCCTTCTTACTAGTATCAGTTAACATCTTCAGTACAAATAAAATATTCAGCTGAACCTGAACAGCACTACAGTGCCACTGTGTCTAAATTCCTGCAGATGGCAGCTTAGCTCAACTAATTTCATGCTGCTGCTATGTAAAACAAATGTTATGTGACAGACCAGCAGTTCCCTGTGTTCCCAAAGGTGTTCAGAACAAAGCTATTTAGGTCACAGTGTTTAAGGGTTTTGATCAGTCAAACATGATCTACCTACACGTGCATATGATGTAACCTTGCAACACAATAACGACCAAAGACACAAAATGTTATTACAACATTGGATGACTTTAATCCACAACTCGTCATATTAAAACACAAGTCTATTTTACACAGCTCAGTTAGCAGCTAAGAAAAAAAAACAAACCCCAAAACAAACAATGACATTCACGCAGTGAATTAGGTGGGAAGCCAGAATGTACAAAGCAGAGCTGCATTAAACAGCTGTTAACATCTGGGTCTAACTGGGATCAAACTGTAAACAAGTGAACTACTGAGAGTAAATGATGCAGGTCTTGGTCTACACCTGACGATGTTTTAGTTCAAAGTTGATTTTAAGTACAAGCATGTAGGTTGGATGTAATAAAACCCCTCCTGTCTGCTGATAATTGTCCCTCAAACAGTGCTTTTCAAATGTGTCATCCTGACAACAGGGTGCAGCTTTTCATCCCAAGAAGCAATCCAGATTAACCAGCGGCTCTCGTGGTGGACTGGAAAAAAAACAGGCGCTTGGTCCTTCATCACCGAGGTTCTCAACCAGTGGTGTAGGGACCCCCAGGGGTCCTTAAGGGAGTTCCAGTGGGTCCCCATAAAAGTGAAGAATAGTTTATTTTCTATCTAAACTACTAAAATCTTTTCAGACAGAGGTCCCTGAAGCACAATATTAAATATCAAATATGCGTCAGTGAATATGTGTACCAATCTAGAAGTCCTTGACACTAGAAAAGTTGAGAACCACTGCTCCATCACACCCCACTAAAAACAACTCTTCTACACTTGGTCCTGCAGTCAGGAAACAGGAAAGGTTTGGTTGGTAGAAGCTGTGTCCCACTTCAGAGGCTGCCTGCAGAGGACCAGAGCTACATCACAAGTTCCAATACTTGGCCTCACAGAGACCACTGTTAACAATGCATTCAGGCAGTCCTTGTCAGCTCATAAAAGTAGACATTTCAGAGTTGTTGTTAGTCCCAATATATCTGTATTACTTCCATTTCTCTGATAATTGAACAAGTTTCTGACTTTACAAGACAAAAATTGACCAGTGCAAAGGATTTTGGGATACTGAGGTCAACAAACAATGCATCAGATATTTAAAATAGGCTGTATTTAATTCAGAATTTAAAATGGGACACCCTCCTTTACACATGATAACATTCTCTGTCAGGAAATGTGGACTTCACATGAGGCAGCCTCTGGAGTGGGACACAGCTAGAGGAAATATTATCTAGTGTTTTATGATGAGGATCTCTTGAGCGTAGCTCCGGAGAGACGCTGAGCTTCTTCCCTCGACACTGACGACACATGGACAGCAGTGTTTCCAAACAGAAAGGAGAAGATCACATCAGACAGGTTACACGTCTGATGTTCTGTTCCTGAGTAAATGTAACCTTGGAGTGAGAGAGGGCAGAATTTTAAAAAAGCACAAACTGTGTCATTTCATTGTGGCTCCATGGCTGACTGGAGATCAGTGATAATGTATTTACAGTGGAACAGTCTGGAGGGGGGAAATGCAGAGAGAGATGATCTTGGAACGGAGGAAACAGCAGAGTGCTCTCTCCTCCTCTCCCCTCTCCTCCCAAGGTCTAGAAGAAGTTTTCGGGTTGACATAAAACAAGAGAACAACCAAACACAAAGCTCACTTCACTGACTGTGGGACCACAGCTGGGTTTCATCCAAATGTGCTGATCCCAAGTCAGCAATGAGCTGTTTATGCTGCGAATTGTAGCTAACCTTGGTAAATTTTAGACCTTGGCAGGACATCAGCATTTTGGAAGGTAGAGTCAGGGGTCAGAGGTCAGACGTAGAAAAGTCGTACCCTGGAGGTACTGACATGGAGGTCATCGTCGTAGAACTTGGTCTCTATGATCACATTACCACTGGAAAACAAAGACACATGGAAACATTAACTGATGCACTGAATTCCACATGTAATGTAGATTACATCAGCATGAATACATGAATGTGTACTGTTGTAAAGGCAACAATCGACGAAAAATTAAAGGAACATTTCAGCTGATAACAACATGCATCTAATAGGGTAAGGATTTGATGAGTATAGTGCTATCATAACTGTCAGGAATAAAATCTACAGGACTGAAGGGTCAGTTCAATATTTTTCAACCTAGATCCTATCTCCCAATTGTGTGCATCTAAGTGACAAGTGGGAACAAAACTCTTTGGAATGTGTCCAGTATTGAGTGAGACTGCTGCCACTAGCAGCAGTGAAAAAAGCTGCAGTTATCCACTCCAGGCATGTTTGCACTGTCAATTTATGTCCACTAAAAGTGCTTGTTCTTGCCACTGGCGTGCTTAGTTTATGAGAGGATCCCTGAAGAGATAGAGCTTTTCTGTTAAAAAAATAAGATCCTTATTGTTTAACCAGAAACAGAAACAGACTCCATTTAAAATCATTTTAGTGTGTATAGAGCCAGCATATTTTCACATCTGGCCAAGTATATTAAGGGTTTATTTCAACAAAACCAGAGTTGGTAACTGTTTGAACAGGACTTTTTTGTGAGTTTTATTTTGTTTGAATGACTTTGAATGGCGTGTGTTTCACAATGGTAAAATTCCTGTTTATTTAAAGGGATACTTCACCGATTTTCAACCAGCTTTGTATCATAACAATGTGGGTAGTATGTGTAAATGAACTATCATTAACCTCTTCCATCTAATCAGTGCCGAGATATCACTGCTTGCCCCATGGCGAAACCACGTCATCTGGCAGAGTTTTGCTGGCTCTCAGGCTGTTGCTTTAACTACAGGCTGTACTGCCGCCATACATGCAACCACCACGGACACAAAGAGTATAGAAGCAGGTCAAGAGACAGACCTGCCCCTCTCTCTGTCAAACTTGCACCAAAATCCACTCAAACAGTAAAACTATGCAGTACAGATCAAATATATATCAAGATTATGCTACTGTACTGCCTATTTCTCCCCAACACTGTTTTTAGAAACATATTTTAGTGCTGTGTTTAGCTGTAACAGCAAGCGTTTGTGAACAGGAAGTGGGCATCTCCTGCACAGTAAAAACAGAGGCCATATAACAGAGAACTAACGGTAAAACTAGGCAGCGCTGGTCAAATAGAAACCAAGATTCTGTTACTGAGTTGCCTATTTCTCACCTCCAATGTTTTCAGAAACATGTTTTATCTTATTGTTTAACTGTAATATAAGACTGTTTCTTACCAGCTGGCCGCCATTGTTTTAAACGGGCATGTTCGCATAACGTCACCCACCAGCAGGAGCATTAAGTGGTCTGGTGCAGTGCATTCTGGTAGTGGTAAGTTTTCTTCCTCTTTAGCAAAGGTGTCCTTTTTCTGTTTTCTCTGGTTCTGTAGCACCAATTTCAAAAGTATTTGTGTCTTTCCACTCCACTGACATCCATTGACATTGACATAGTTTTATTAAAAGGCCATCTTTTCAGCAGTGAAATACTTCTTTAAATGGAGTCTGGTGGGTTTGGGGATGGCGATTCCAGGGTTGTTTTTGGTTAAACAAAAAGGATCTAACTCTTTAACCAAAAGGTATTTCTCTGTATTTCTTTCTCCTTTCCATTATATTATCAGACCCTTATGATAACAATCTGAGTATGTCAGTGGTAAAAGCACTTTTGGTGGATGTCAATTGATGGTGCAAACATGCCCAAATGATTACACTGCAGCCTGTTTCGTGGCAGCCATCTTGCTCAATACTGGACCAATTTCAAAATCTGTTGTTCCTATTTGTTGCTTAGACACAAGAACATGGGCAAAAGGGTCCAGGTTTAAAAATAGAGAGCCTACTCTTAAATCCCGTAGTTTTCATTCCTGCCAGTTATGATAGAACTATTCTCATCAAGTCAATAAAGAGATCTGAGAACACAGTGATATCACTTAAACTAAATCTGACAGACGAAACTCAAGCAGGCAAATGATCGGACAGGTTGTTTGTCCAGATGATCTAAACTACTTTCAGTTTATGGAATGCTGCACATTATACACAAAGAAACACCTTTGTTCACCTTTGTTTTGTCGTCTCTAAACTGTGGGTTTGTGCCTCTGACCTGTCAGCACGCACTGTGGTGATGTCACTGTGTTTCCAGATCTCAGCTATTAACTTGGTGTATACAATGCTATCATAACTGACAGAAAAGATTGATAAAACTACTAAACTAAGACCAACATTGTGATAAAAAACAATCCCTACTGCACAAGTTTGACTATCTTCCAAATATTGACACAATAAATTATCACAATATCAGGTCATTGTAAATCAGGATAAATTGTGGCAAACTGGTACAAAAAGTTTACACTAAACAGCTTATTTATTATTTATGTACACATTTTTACCCTTGTATGCTTTCTGTATCACTGTTTGTTGGTTAGATGTAGCTCAGTCTCACAACTGTATAGAGTTATAGAGAAGAAGTCTACTGCATGTGTCAGCAGATATAAAACATAAAAAAGAGAGATGATGAATAAAAATGATCCAAGTGGAGACTCACGTTAAAACATTAGCTGGCATCATCTGGGACTCTGGAGCTGCTTCTATCAGAGACTGCCATGTGTTGGTGGAGTTGGGGATAACAAAACCAAACTCAAAGAACCATTCTGGACAGAGACACAGACAGAGAGAGTTCAGTGCTGCCTCCATCACAACATATATATCATTATCAGGAATTCTGTTTATATTGTATGTTAAAGTACCGTAACAGTCTACAGACATTTTCAGACCTGGAAACCTGCAACATAAACATGTTGTGTTGGTGTGTGGTCCCCTGGGGCTCTGTAACCTCACCTCTGTACAGCAGGGCCCCAGAGATGGCAGTCCACACACACACACACACACACACACACACACACACACACAGTAACAGGGAAGTGACAACAGCTAACTGAGCTGTCTGTGAAAGGATCAGAGATGACGCTTAAACGCATTCACAGTGAGGTGGGGCAGAAGGTTGAAGACCTGAGGGTCTGTGTGGTTTTGCTCAACAGTGTACATTTCATTTCATCATTGGCGGGGACACATATGAAACAAGGGGTTTGGGGAGAGAGAGAGAACACCTGGACAGGTCGTCAGTCACTCACAGGGCTGACACATAGGGCCTTTCCCAAACCGAGCCCTCTTCACTCACACTCCATCTAAGTTTGTAACTGTTTATGTCTTAAAGGGTAGTTGCATGGAACTTTTGTACGGCGCGTCCTCCATGACAAACACAATAGAGCGTTGTACATGGTCAGTAAGTCGGCATCCCACTTCCACTCCCCACTAGTTGGTTTGGGATGGCACTTAATATCCTTGATCCTCCGCGTGAATACAGAATCGGAGGGAAGTGGGTAAGGAGAGGGTGTAGGGGATTGTTTGGGAAAGGCCCAAAGGGATCAGTGGAATAGTGTAAAACTGTTGGGATCCATAATGCCACGAGTGGTCAAAGCTCACAGGGTACCTTTAATTGACTAACGTTCTAGTTCCTGTGCCTTTAAGCAGTTCAGATTACCTTCTAGACACTGTCCTTTGAAGAAAACTTTCTGCTCCAGCCTGAACTTCTCCAGTTTCTCTGAGGAGGAAAAGTTCAGTTCTCTGGACACTGCTTTACACTTCAAGATCTTCTTCGGGACGCGAGCTGGGGAGACAATGAGAAACTAGAATTAACTGAGAGAAGAGCTATCGATTCAAGACCTGCAACTTGTTCGGCTGCAAAATGTGCATAATAGCAAGTGTATAAGAAGCCGGTGACTGTATCACTGCTAGCCCTACTTAAACCCTGAACAAATGCTTCAAGTCCATAAAAAAGAGCATTACCTGCTTCATTAAAAAAACACCAACAATTCACGTAATCTTGTTTTTGAACACTACTTGTACATCAGATAATTTTGTTAATCTATGAGCATGATTATTTCCATCAACAATTTCACTGATGATAAAGTGCTGATGTACATTAAGAGTCTAATGTTCATAGTTACAGTCAGTCAGGATTGCACCCAGTTATGGTACCCAGATATGGTGCCCAGTATTAGATGGTACATTACACATCTTTGTAATGAAGTCTAAAGGTCAACGCTAGAGGAAGCAGCCGGACTAATCCAGTTTAACCCGAATATCTAATCCGAAGCATGTGCATGCCCTAAAAGAGTCAACTGCATTGTACAACCATGTACATGCCCTCAGTGTATCCTCCTTTTGCATATTTGTATTTGAGTACATACACACTGTGAAAACTGTGTTAAAACCATAGTTATTATTCTCATTACATTTTGGGGTTATATAAATTACTCGAGTTAACCATACTAATTTCAGCTGTACAGTACACTGTGATGCATTGGATACAATATCCATTTTGGTTGCTTTCATTAGGTGCACGCTGTCTTGTCATGTTGACCAAAAATTATTCGTAGACTGTTCGAGAATGCTGCCAACCAAGCCAACTGACTGACATAAAAAGCCCCAAAAAACATGTTGTGCCACGATACATAAGGTTAACTCATATCGAAGTGGTGCCTGGATAGCGTGACGTGTGCTGCTGCCGTGGTCCTGCCAGATGCCTCCTGCTGCTGCCATCATTAGTCATTAGTCATACTTCTACTGTTATTTTACACATATGATTATTGTCACACATGTATACTGCCAGATACTAATATATACTTTCAACATATTGTACCACAGTAGCCAGAATTATAACAATAATATTATTACTTTCATTAATGTTGTTGTAAGCTACTGTCATTACCGTCTGTCCTGCATCTCTCTCTCTCTCTCTCTCTCTCTCTCTTATACGGATTCTCATACGGATTACTGTTAATTTATTATGCTGATCTGTTCTGTACGACATCTATTGCACGTCTATCCATCCTGGAAGAGGGATCCCTCCTCAGTTGCTCTTCCTGAGGTTTCTACCTTTTTTTTCCCCGTTAAAGGGTTTTTTTTGGGGAGTTTTTCCTTATCCGCTGTGAGGGTCCAAAGGACAGAGGGATGTTGTATGCTGTAAAGCCCTGTGAGGCAAATTGTGATTTGTGATATTGGGCTTTATAAATAAAATTGATTGATATGTGTGTGTATTGTACCTTCATGTTCTACTCCTGGTACGGAGAGGTCCTCAGTTCCCTGCCACAGCACTTTGCCCGTCTCTGCATCTCGAAGATTCATCCAGTTTCTGGCAGGAAAGGGTTAAGTGACAACAACCAAACTAAAGGACAGACTAAATGAAGTGACCTCAAGTATCCGTGAAATATTCTAAATGTCTTTAACGCAATTGAAACTGTCTTTCAACCTCTATTACCACTTGTGTTATCAACCTACAGTATCATTTTAATTTAGTAGAAACAAATGTAATATTTCCAATCAGGAAAGCAGCTTTTATTACTTCTATAGAATGGTTCTATTCAGATATTGACCCTTAAAAAAGGGATACGTAGGGCTGTTTGGGGGAAGCATGGACTAAGCATAGACTGGATAAACACATAGCTGCCTGGTACAGAGGACTGTAGGTGAGTTTTAATAATCAGATCACATTGATTCAGATGGAAGAAGTAAGCAGAGTAAGCAGACGGGTGTTCAGGTTAACAGGGAAATTATAGACAATAGGTTCATTCACAATGAGCTGCCTATGGTAACAATGGCGCAACTATACAAGTGACAGTCAACTACAATACATTGATATCTGCCAGGAAAAACATATAAACAGCCCCTAATTTTTCCACAACAGGAATTCTATATTTCTTACTGCACTATGAAAAGTTATCAGTGTCTGTTTTGAAGCTAACTAAGATAGATCAGTAACACAACTGACACCATTTACATGTCAAACAAAGTCAATCACTGACACATCAACATGACAGCATACTGTGATGTTGCCATGTGAGGAGGCTCATCAGTTCACTGATACTCATCAGCTGATGGTTATTGGCAAATTTTAGCAAATAAGGTCAGTTAGCTTGTAGGTTCATGAGTAAAACAAGTGTATGGTTTCCCTTCAGCTATCAAAAGTCACCGTCTACCCCCACCAATCCTGACATAACAGCTCAAGTAAACAGGTAATTTATGGAGCTCATTTTGAGCACTACAGGCCTGGGTTGAAACATACATTCAGTCACTGATGACAGTTGAACTTCCTATCTGGCCATCTGCACAGACCACCGGCAAACAGCTCATCATCTGCTGACATGTATCTAATACGGATGCCTTTTACTGGACCTCTGACTGAGTAACTATTTGGTTATTAACCACAAAATCGCAGATGCACTGTAAACACTAAAAAAAACACAAACACAAAAAACAGCCGTCAAACATGGTGGCAGCAGGACCTCAAATGGGAAGTTCGTGCTCCAAAACGCTCTAATGTGGTTGCATTAAATCAACTGTCTCTCTCTCTACACTGAGCCTCGACACAACCAGCCATTAAGTTAATTGGGGACCATGCCATCCAATGATTGGTGATTGATCATGCTATATTTAAACGCAAGGTAGGCCTGTTTCTGTGACCTAAGTCTACTGGCACAATAGTGTATTTACTGCTGCTGAAAGATGTTGCAGATCTTGCCCTGAGGAGGGAATGCATCTACTAGGACCGTGTAGATCTATCTACGTGGATCAATCTGTGTTTACCAATGCTATTTTGGATCAACTGGCATGAGCTTACAAAGACAAGGGGATTCATCATTATAAGAACACAGGGACAAACAATTCTGCTGTTTAAGAACATGTCATGAACCTGACATAGACTTTAATACAGGTCTTTCTCAAGAACAAATTTAAGAAAAAGTTATAAAGATATTGGGAAATTAGGCCCAGTGGCCCCAAACTTCCAGCAAATATCATATTATTCTTTAGAAACCTCTATTCAGCCAAAGATGAATGGAAGGAAATATGTCTGGATTCTCAGTAACCTAGGGACAACAGTGTGTGACTGGGAGAGAGGAAGCTGAAGAAGCCTTTGTTTCAATGATGCTGGCTGTTAGCTGTCCCATCAGTCTGTCAGCTGGTCAGCTGTTCCTGACCCCCACATTCACTATAAACACAATACAGCCGTCAATCACAGAGCCACTGCACGTTACAGCGTCTCCACAATCATTTCAACAGCAGTCAGAAGGGGCATCAATGCATCTGCATCCATCAGAAATCTGCCTCAAAGTGATTAATGTACTTTACACCAAGCAGAGATGCAGCTGCTGTATTAAAGAGTCATGTAAAGGACTTTATCCTCTGTGTGGCCAAATTCGGAGGTGAGCCGATATTGATCAGTACTGGTGGCAAATCCTCATGATGGCGGTGACAAACTCAGTCGATAAAAAAGCTTTTAAATCAATGACAGCCATCAGCGAAGGCATCATCCATCAGTCCAACACTATTAAAGAACCATCTTCACCACCAGCACTGATTTTCCACTCAGCATCCTGTCACACTTGAATACTACTTAGTGTCACACACACTTGACTCCACACCATCTGTGAAGCCCTCCATCCCAACTGCTTCACAACACACAGCTTTTAAAGCTGCCATGTTAGCATACTGTTACACCATTGAGGAGAACAGAGATGCAGATTACTAAAACACACAGTGTTCTGAAAGGACTCTTTGTTGCATTCAGGGACTCTTCCTAAATTCATATTACTGAGTTTGGAAGCCATAAATCCTGTTGGTCTGGATGTTGTAGTGGACATTTTAAAAAGATTCAGGGGGAGGACACAGGATATGTTGAAAGAAAGGTTTGTGTCACTATGCATCGATTTAGGAAGGTAGGGTGGGGTGGAGGGGACATGTCCCCAGCAATATTTAGAAAGTAGTGGGACTTTAAGTAATTAAAATTACAGTAAAGAAGTTTACACTATAAACTGATGCAGAAAAGGCACAAATTGGTGCATGAAAAATCGCCAGAGTGCAGAAAATGAAGCATCTGATGCTCAAACTTTTGTAGCGGTGACCCCCCAAACTCCCCGTTTCATGTGTACCTCTCCAATACTGAAAGGAAGCCTATGTCTGCAATGCCACTGCAATGCTGAACAGCATCTTCACCAACATGTCCAAAAATATACAATAATTAGGCTCTAGATTTTTTTATTTCATTTTGATGCATCTGTCTTACTTTTCACAAGATTTAATTTTTCTTCCATCTGCAGTATTGACAGAAAAAAAAATCTAGTCTTACTTCAATACATCTCTAAAATGTCTTGCTTTCATTTTATCTAAAACAATAAAGACCTTTTATGTCTTTAATGAAATGCATTTATTAAAATGTTTTCATAAAGCCTTCAGAGTGGGGCAGGTATAAAAGTCCCAAAAATCTGAAACAGCCTGGAGCCATGGATCATAAATGGTGATATTAAACATCATTTATGTTATATTTTCCTCAATAATAAAAGGCTAAACTAGGATTCAATAAACAAAATCTTGATTCCCTAAACCCCTAAAATACTCAACTCCAGTCAAATTTCTTGCAGTTCAGCTAATGTTACGACAATCTCAAATCACTGTCTCCATTAGCTTCACGTGTATGTTATCAAATACCAAATTCTGCTTGTAGTAGTATTCATGAAGCTGCAAACTCTGAAATAATGTATTAGTTAGTAATTAGCAAAGTGCTCAATGACATCTCCAATCCATGTCTGTTAGTGTTGTACTTCACTGGCCAGATCCCAGTGACAGCAGAGCTCCACCACCTCCACCATCCCCCACCTCTTCCTCTGGCTTTCTAGTAAAGTGTGCTGACTTGAATGGTCTCTCTAATCCTCTCAAGTCTAACTAAATCCAACCTCCCACATCAAACTCATCATTCTCCACACCTTCCAGAAGAATCCAGGCCACACAGCAATGTCCCTCTCACCCTCCCACTAGGTCAGGTCGCACCACTCTCATTTTTTAATACATCACTGTCAACAAAAGACAGCACATGTATCATTTTAGCAGGTTGTCAATAATGGCTGTGATGCCATTGAAAGAAGGAAAGGACATCACCAGCATATGCTAATAACTGTCCTTTTCCTTCAATCCCTCTTAAATCACTTCCTCATAAACTAAAGAAACTCTCGTACAGCGATTGATTTTACCTCAAACAACATCATTCGAGAACGTACCTTAGCCTCCCGCAGGGCTGGCTGCAAGTCGTGTGTGTATGTAAATCACGAGGGTGCCAGCACAAATCTGTCAGCACACGCACACACAGACACACATACACACGTTAATGAGCCCCCAGTGAAAAGCTGCTGTCACTGTTTAGTCTGCATTTATTTTTAAAGACATGTTAATGGTTCAAGTATAGGCAGCTTCCTAATCCCAACCTCTGCAACAACAGCCCCAACACAATCCTACTGAACAGATATAGGCTTGCACTTCAGTCAATTCATAATTGAACAACTCAGCAACACTCAAGTCTATGAACACAAGTATAACTACAGCAACTTCAGAATATAATCGTCCAATTATTTCAACATCAACCATTTCAATATTGTAGAAAAGGGTGTTTTATGCCGCTATACAAATAACAATAAAGCATACCTACTATAGAGCAAACTGAGCCCAGCGCTGCCACACTACACAGACACACACAGTATCCACCTGTCCAAAGGCATCACCTTTAGAGGTATGTGATGGGTCATTATTATTTTATCTCCTGTTAGGGTGCAACAACAAAAAAACTAACCAGTAAATCAGAGTGTGGAGTTCAGAGCCAGATAAGGGACCTGTTTCACCAGGAAGTTTTACAGGGCATCATCATCATCATCACAACTGTGCACATCATTACTGTGCACTCTGCTTATCTGGAAACTGGGAAAGAGGTCATACTGAAGTTACATGTTGTTTGCTAAAGACTGGAGTCATATGCTCTGCTGACACAACATGTTTTTGAGTCGTATGTATTTATCGAGAATTCAGATGCTGCTCAGCTGACAGGCAGTCTATGTTTCTTAGACAATCAAATCTTGCTCTTGAGAGAACTATATAAAAAATGCATTTCTGCCTCCCTCATCAGAGACCTGCTTTTTCCCTTCTGACCTGTGTTTGGCTGTAATTTCTGTCTTATTGTACAAATGTTACTTAGTGAACCTGCCTCTTGGAGCAGGCAGCAGGTGAAGTCTGTACACAACACAATATATACAGTATAAAACACAAATATAAAACTACCAATATCTTAGTCTGACTCAGTGGGAATGGCAAAGTCAGATTGGTATCCTATGGTGCAACTCTTGCATTCTGATTCATCCTTTTTTTAAAAAAAAGCGACGTGCTAATAGGGGAAAACTTTGCTTCAAACTATGTTAAGGTTCATCAGCAGCCCTCTGATTGACTAATAACCGACTACAACAGGTGCTACTGCTTGTGTGAGCATCTTAGTTTATGCTCTGCTGTTGAGAAATGCTAACCAACAAAGTCAGAGATTTTCACAGCTAAACGGTCTGCTACCTTTGCTGTGTTTTGTATTCCTATTTATGCTCTTCATAAGGATTTTGGTATGGCAGCAATGTTGCCTTTACAGTCTAGAAAAGAACGAAAATGATGTACTGTTTTGTCTCTGCGTTGGCTTTAACAGAGCACTACGGACAGAAGGTAGTAAATCCCTGCTCCACTAAATCATGGATTTAGGCATTACCACACTGCAAAAGGCCTGATCTTCCTTGGAAACATGCACAAAGTCACACCTCCTTCCTCTCTAGAGACTGGGATAGGTGTTATATAATAAGGGGGACACCTTACCTATACATTGAAATAACTAAACTAAGTTAAGTTGTATAGCTGGAGAGCATTAGGTCTGCGCTGCAGTAAAGCATAGCATGCTGCAGTGCTCTGCTGCTTATTCTAGAAGGTATTACTGGAGCTAATTCGGTCCTACATCGTCACATGAAGACACAGCCCGGTCAGTAATATGGAGAGCATCGATTTGCCATGTTGACTACACACACACACACACACACACACACACACACACACACTAACCTCCTAAAGACAAAGCTACAGTTTGCTTTTGTTGAAAAAAGAAAGAAAAAAAAAACACTTAAAATTTTTTAACCTGGGATTTACTGTGGTACACAAATTAATGGGCCTCCATACAATCATTCCTAACACAACAAACTAATTTTTAACAGACCATAGTGACTTCAAAGAATGCTGTTGATGAGCTGCGCTCTTTCAAATGCTTTTTGCCTTGGCATTATATTTTCCAGCAAAGGTTCTAGTTTATGCAGTGGACTGAAACCTTAACTGATGTAAAATACAATGTTATGGAGTGATGAAGGTCAGCCTACACTCTGTATCATTGTCCTGCTTTTCTGTTCAGCTCATGTGGATCAGCTTAAATACTCCAAAATGGATGTGCACATGCTTCTGTTTATACTACATTAGGTGTCTGCACACGCTAACATGATCATGTTTGTCACCACATATGGTTTGTGTATTCATAAACTTTGGACTTGGACAGATGATCAAAACATATGTCACGCAGACCCTTTGTGGATCCATGCAACCATGCAGATGTGAAAAGTATAATTTTGGCTGAAATGTGTTCAAGGTGTGGAACCTAAGTTCTCAAGGCCACTGATTCACTGACAGGTAGGATTCTGCTGCTAACTCTGACAGTATACACTAAACACCACTGAGAGGATTTGTTGCTCCAAACTTAATTTAGGAAATCTTGGCAGTAAATTCTGCCATTTTGGGTTGCATGCACCTAATTTTTTTGCAGAGAGAGAGGAAAGGCCCAGTCACTCCTTCACACCTCACAAAAAATATACTGATGACTAAGTAAGAAATAAGTTGCCCAAAAAGTGGCATCGGCCTACACCTTTTATTTATTCATTCAAATTTTAGCTGAGTAGCTGCTATTGAGCTGGCAGCTTGTGTTTGGAAACCCGTGACTAACACTGTGAGAATACATGTTTGTTCATATCATCTGATCTGACAGATGAACAACCTTTGAAAAGTAAATCTATAATTTCTGAATGAAACAAAGAAACACTCACTTATCTTGAATAGAGAATAAAATTGTTGGACAAAGTTTAAGTGCATACACAATTTAGGTATACTGTAGATCAGGGTTGTCAAACATACAGCCTGGCGGCCAGAACTGGCCTGCAAAAGGGTACAATCCGGCCCACTGGATAACATTGCACACCTAATAGGGATGCACTTGTAAAGGGTAAGAGGTGCCAAGTTTCAGGAGCAAGTGAAACACTGAGTGGCTTTGTTCATGTAAAATGCTTCTTCAGGGGCTTTTCCACCCCGACCAGAATACAGTTATTTTGGTTCACTTTAGTTTGGTGTGGTGATGTTGTATAGAAAAATGCTCATGTAATGACAGCAAGTAGACACCACAAGCTGTTTGTCATCTGTTATGTAAATGGATTAGCGCTTTTAAAAATGTACTTCTTCAAACAAAAAAAAAAGGGAAAAATTTGGAGGTGTTTATTATTTATAGGACATTATGCAATGGTTTTACTGGTCCTGCCCACCTGCAATCAAATCGGATTGTATGCAGCCTGTGAGCTGAGTGAGCTAAAATGAGTTTGACACCCCTGCTGGAGATGATCTTAGCATACACAAGGAATTGTGAGTCAAACACAACCAGACAAAAGACAAGATACTACAACCACGTCTTGTACTACAATAATAAAAACAGTAAAGGGGAAGAATATCAGCAATAAACAGCATAGTAAAAACAAGTGCCAGAGCACCCTTGACACAAACTATAGCCTGTAAATACAACACCTCAGGCTTGATTCCATCTGGGACCTTTGTTGTAGATCATACCCCACTTTGTTTCTTACCATGTTTTCTCTTTGGATCTCCTCAATATAGTCTACAAAAAAGGCACATGCTTAAATATATTAAAAATTGCCTATTGCCCTTGTTTTCAAAGTCTTGAAACAAGTGACTGCTCAATTTGGCTCCAGTCTGATGCTCCATCAGCACACATCAGTAAGACAACTGTGACACATTCAATGTCTTACAACACTGTTGTGAAATTGTAGTAAGTAATATTAAGTACGAGTGGCTTTTGGGGAAAGGGATAATACATTCAAAATAAAGTGGTATGACTATAAACAGTGCAGCTTCATGCTTGAAATGGACTGAGTGGTACTGAAGTTCAGCATCACTTCCATACATGACAGGGACCCACCTGGGTTTGACAACTTCCCATAGTCCTGTCTAATGTTAGCTATCATGCAGCAAACAATCTATATATTTGACGCCAGCAACATTTCGGCTAAGAGCTTAAGTTACTAGTGAGTTAGTCAGTGAAAGTTTGACAAAGCTATATCAGTATCCATCCCCTGCGCCAGGCTGAACACCGTCTCCATCGCATGTCACCTCTGCTTCAGTGCTCAGGGCATTTAACGGTACAGCGCACTGAGCAGTTAGCCGGGCTATTAGCCACAGCTCAAGGCCACTCACTTTAGCTGGCGGGACGTCATTCAGACGTGAACTAGCTGCTTCTTAACTACAACAACATTTACATTTTGTCACATCATATTAAAACAAATATCGGCTGTGTAGCTGGCGTTATGAAACGAGAGGTGACAGTCACAGGTTAGCCCCAGCAGCTAGCAGCTTACTCTACCATCAGTCACGAGATGTTACTAACGTTACCATTTTGCTAACGTTAGATAACGCTTTCTATTTGTAATTAACAGGAAAGACATTACGCATATTGCTACGTGTCTAACCTTCGCAGAGCAGCAGCAGAAAGGATACAGTTTGAAGCCCTTCAAAATTTCCTTGGCCCTGTCTTCGTCTGAAGACATTTCTGAAATCGTCTGTTTTCGTTCCTTACTGAAAATCCAGGATCCCCTGAAACCACAGAGCTGCTGCTGGTGTTAGCTTCAGTTAGCTAACCACTGTGCCGGCTAATGTTCGCCTGAAAACAGCATAAACTATGTGTGCTTAACTCTGTATTGTTGGACTGCAGGTTAAATCTGATCCGATAATACAATCAGCTAAATATACCCAACTAACTGACAGACAGCTAGCCTAGCCAGTGAAAGGCGCAGGGTAGCTCCTAACAGCCAATCACAGTCCGGGAATGGGAAGTGTGGGCGGGACTACATGGGATAGAGACGCGTCACCAGGGGCAACGCCGCGCACACTGTGAAGACTGATTGGGGCCACACGGTGACACGATCCGTGCGGGTACCGTACCACTTTTACATCTCATTTAATATGTTCACATGAATACTACACTAGACTGAAGATATTACACTTCAGGGAAAAAACTTAAGTGATTTAAAACTGATAATTTCAATAAAAGAAAATATGGGATGAAAGTTAATATGACGTATAAAACCACAAAGATTACTGGTGAAATATCATTGTATTGTTACTACTATTACAAACAATAATAATAATAATAATAATAATAATAATAATAATGATAATATACTAACAGTTGCAGTCATGTCATGTATGTATCTCATCATGTCATGTATCTTTAGTTTTAAAAATAAATATTCCTGTATGAACACACGGGTGGTTCCTACAGGATGAACAACTTTAAAATCAATTGCATCTATTTTTTTTGACCACAAACATTTGAGGTTCAATGCCTTTATGTTTTAGTTTTACAACACAGTGAATGCAGGGGCGGAGCCAGATGCTGTAAACATTTGGGGCAGCCATGTGAGCTCTTTTTCAAACCATTTCTCATAACAGAATGCCTAAAAATCTGCACAACAATTGAGAAAAACATGATAGTCACCAAGGGAAAAAACATCCTGTGGAGCCTACATCCTAGTTTGTTTCCAGTTGTTCTCCAACTGTCTCCATCATTCTGAAACCATAACACAACAAATGTTGAGGATGACTAATGCTCACTCCTGCCACCTATGAAAATGCAACATTTTTCTGATGTTACTAATTTTAAGTTACATAACAGGTAGAGTAATGATTTGGCAGAAACAGCATTTCTAATCTTGAAACCTATTTTTGTCATACTATGCTGGAGTTAGGTTCACAGAAGGAATGTTTAGCAGACAAATCTGCTACATTTAATTCCGTACCTGATTGCAAATATGGGATCTTCAAAAATACAATGTGCTCTTCAACACTCTGAATATATACTGAATGATACTGAATATCAGACCAACAGAAAACCAATTACTCAATCATCTTAGATTTCTTTAATGAGCATAGCTGTGGGTCTGGAGCCTCACTTTATTAGGGTTTATCTATATTTATTTTTTGTCTGTCACAGTTTGATAGCTGATTTCTTCAATATTTAATGTCTACAATGAAGAATCATCCCTACAGATGACCAAGACAATTGCATGTTCCTGACCTCAAGATAGGAAGGGGAACTTTCAGTCTTTACTGAGGCAGAAACCAACTGCACACCATAATTAACACAATTACGTAACTTTCCCACCAGGCTGTTTGTGAAGGAGTGATCTGGATAGTCAGTGCTGTAATTGTTACAATGTTCATGTTATTTGTCTAAAAAACCTCAACATTTCAGTAGCATTGTTTTGAATTAATCCCTCCAGTGTCTAACAGACAATAGTCAGTCTTTATGGCAGCTTGTGTGTGTTGGTGGAGGCCAAAGTTTGAATTGGACCCAGAAGTTAGATGTTTAATGATTTAATAATGCTCAACTGAGCAGATTGCACACAGCAGATTGAGCTTCTTTTTGTACAAACACTTCTGGGAGGCAGAGATGCTCACAGAACAGATTTAATATTCACCAAACTCAGTTTTGATGGGCAAAGCTGGGGACTACAGTTTATGATGTCACTAACTGGCTAATATGAATGTCAAAGAAGTCAAGCTGATCTTAAAATAATGGTACCATGATTAAGTCATTCATTCAACATATATATGCTATTAGGATTAGTCTAATGAAGGTCAGCAAGATAGCATGCCCATTTTTAAAACATGTATTTTTACACCAATTTAATGAGTCATATTTTAATGTCAACAGTAATCTGATTGATTAATCTGCTTTGGCTCGGCTTCCCTCACCTGTTACAGTAGGCTGAACTACATGGAAAATCCACACTGTAATTTCTGTAACACCACCTGTGAACTGCAGTGTGCTTTATTGGTATTCTGACAACATAGAACAGAGGTGAAGTGGAACTCATTACATCAGGGATCAAAGCATGTGCTGGACATGAACCATCAGAAGAACCAGATCTGATGACTGCTAACAAAAGCAAAGCAGATGACAAATGGACCACCAGTCTGGATTCTGTAGTTTAGCAAATGTTTATTGAGTGACATATTAGTCCTTCTTGGCGGCAGCTTTCCTCATGGCAGCCAGCACGTTGCTCAGCTCCTCTCTCTTTCTCTTGGCGCGAATGTGAGTGCCAATCTGTGGAGGAAACACAGCAACATTAGACTGATCCAACACTGCTAAACCCCACTTCTCACAGGACAGATTCAGAGTGAGGCTGCACCCTTTCGTCTTATACAGTGCAGCGAGCTGGTGCCTCACTGCTTCTGTACGGGCCTGATCAAATATACATACTGTGCATTAGATTTGTAAAGCTGTGTGTTAATGTTGTGATATTAAGATCAATCACTGAACATCTGTTTAACTCCAACAGAGAAGAAATTGATGGGAAAATGCTGCTGTGGCTGTTCAGTGGGTGTCATGCTCCTTAAAGCATCCTGACATAACAAATGCAAACTCACCCTCTTCTTGATAAACTTGAGGGCTCTCTTGTCCTTAGACACCTTCAGCAGCTCCATGGCTCGCCTCTCATATGGAGCGAAACCGCACACTTCGCGGATCATGTCGCGAACAAACTTGCTGTGTTTGGTGAGACGCTGCAGAGGAAACACAAGGTGTACAAAGACAAAGCTTTTAAACATGATCTGCTTTATCTGAACTGTGTGATCACTTTTAAACTCTTCATGGCAGAAATTCTGGATCATAGAGATGGACATTGTTATGCATCACATCTTCAGCAGCAAATCTACAGCATGTTACCACTGAAAAAATATCCAAGTCTTATGACAATGTGATAATCACATGCTTGTAAAAAAAAAAAAAAAAGAAAAAGAAAAAAAAGAGGGGTGCTATGAGGTTTGTAAACCACCAGATGTCACTGTGCTTGCAGAGTTTGAAGCCCTAAAGCTTCACAAGGCTTCATCTGCTCATCAACAGATCTTTAATAGCACAAATCACATTCATACATTGTAAATATACATAATCTTTTCAAGGCTCAGTACTTTCTTAAAATGACTGGTCATAGTAGTTGTTTGTAAACTTAACAGCAGGAGGAGGTGCATTTGTTGGCAACCAGTTTTCAACAGAGGATTAATATTCCGTCAGCAGGTTTGAGTGTATGTGGGATTAGGTTTGGGCTGCTACTAAAAATTATTTTGATTATAATTTCATGTTAGTTATTTTTCTTTTTTGACTGATTAATCCTCTGGGGCTGAAATGTTCTTCAGAAAACCTCATCACATCAGCCAAGGCTGACAGATTCAAATGCACTGTCCAACCAACAGTCTGAAACCCTACAGCATTTTGTTTGATATCACGAAAACAACCAGCAAATATTCACATGTGAGAAGCTAAAACCTGAAATTTTTGCTATTTTGCTGACATGATTTAAACAAATAATTACCGAAATAGTGAATCAACTAATCATTTCAGCTGTAAAGTATGTTTCATTTAAGAATTTGTTATCCAGTGCAACAGTGTGGCTCATTGTGTTTGTAGTAGTTTTGTGGAGCTCTATGGCACAGAAGAAAAACATATCAGGTTCATAATAACAACTCCTCAGTTTTAGTCTTTTCAAAGGATTTGTTGATGGAAAATATTAATATCACCAGACCTCTCTGCAGGCTGCAAACTGTTTCTATGGTGCGTACTTCAATGATCTGATGTTAAAGCTGTGAACCATTCAATGTAAAGTCATTAGGGCTGTCAAACAATTAAGTTTTAAAATAACGATTAATCGCATCTTTATGATTCCAATATTTTGCTATTTTGCTTTTCAAAACAGTTTTGAAGTCCATAAACAAGGTCAAACAACTTTCACCAGAGTGTCTTAACTGAGAATCAAATGAATGCAAAGAAATTTACTGTCTGAACTTTAACATTTGTTTCTTTCAAATTGGCGCCACTCTGCTACAACAGTCTGGTCTTAAAACCATGACTTAGAGATAGGAGAAGCCCTCAAGGTGCTTATTCTGTGAAATACAGTGTTGTTTTCTTCTGTACGCCAAACCATTAAAACACAGGAGTGCAATGTCCAATCAGTGTCAATATGATTTGCAGTTACAAGATCATTTCGATTACTAACTGACGTCCAATGATCCCCAGTTGACGGGAAAACATTTGCACTTCTCAGGAGTTCCAGTATAGTTGTATTCTCTGATTCATACAGGTACAGTTTGCGTGAAACTACTGTTCCCCACGACAGGAAGGCATATGACCGGTCACAACGTGCCAACCAGAGGATGTCCCTTAGACCTGAGTCTATCACGATGGTCTGCAGTCAGTGGCAGACTGCAATAGTGCTTTGCCAGCTTTGGTGATGTGGTTGCCCGCTGACATCAGTCTGACTGCACCTGTGTGTTTAGCTCACAGGTGGCAGCTCAAACTCAAAGTACTTAGGTGATATTTTAATTCCGATTATTACAAGGTGCATATTACTTCTGACTTGTTAACTAAGCCATCTGGGGGTTTTATAAAGTGAAATGACCCATTCAAAAGCAAAGTGGTTTTCATCACTGAGGCAGGAGACTGCTGTGGCAAATTGACTACAGTGCATCGAAGAGACAAAATAGCAGCCCCTGATTAACACGATTGCAAAAGAAAGTGTTATGTTTAGGCCTTAATTGCACTGCGATTACATGTTCACGCTGCTATAATCAAACACTGATCACTTTAAAGTTGATTTCAGTTTCACACATCTGCACCCAAACTACAAAACACTAGTGGAATGACAAGGTGTAATGTGTAGTTGCAATAAACATCTGTATACCAACTCCTCTCAAACCCGCTCTCTGCAATAATGAAATAAAAACGGTATGACCAGGACTGACAACTAGAGTCACTCAACAGCAGATACTCACCCCACGTCGGCGGCTGTGTTTGGGAGCAGTCACATTTTTGGTAACTGGATGGCCTTTGTTAAGGCCCACAGCCATAGGGTAGCGTATAGCCATGTCTGCAGAAGAAGGCACACAAACATCAGTTACATACAAACAACAGTCTTACATGAGCTGCTTGGGGACATCACATCCCATGTCAAGCTATCACACACTGAAGTAGCATCACCCAACAGCACCCACAACAGCACACTATTGATAGCAGAACAGAGCAGGTTTAACTTCAGTTGAAAAGTCCTCAATACACTGAAATAGGGCATTACTTTTCATTCGACTACTTCAATGTGTGGGTTACTCAGTAGTATACAATAGTGATACAGTAGCAAGTGTAACGTTATAGCTTTCACACATGTACAAGATCAATTTCTATACAGTTTATCCTACAGAGGCCTGCCAACATAAGAACAGACTTCGTACTAACAGTCTGTGTCTGTGTACAGCACGTATCACGACTGTAACTCTTATAAAACAGTCAGTTGTGCGGAATAATTAGCTGCAGCATAGCCCTGAACACAGAAACATGGATGCCGCTTAGTGTCTGAGGCGGCTTCAACTTTTCGTCCGTTTTACATGTTATCGTGCGACAATACTGGAGACAGACGTTAGGTGAAGTCTGTAGTCTGATATAGTTTCATTTTATTCGGTAAAAATAGACGGATGGCGGAGATTATGCGTGGCTTTTAGTTGATAGCTGTCAACATTAAAGTCTTACCTGCTGTCTATGATGGCGGTCAAGCCGGAAGGACTGCCGGATGAGCGAGGCGGGGTAATGAGAGGTTTGACCCGGAAAACGACTTTGAGTCGTCGGCAGAGAGGCGCCCCTACCGGCCCGGAGGAGGTACTGTTTCAGTTTGGTTTATTTTGGTCATTTTGCAACCTTGAAATCTCAAATACACTGGAAGATAGACAATAAATAAACATTAAGTTAATGCTTTTCTAGCAAAAAAGACAAGAAAAGAAAAGGTTAAAAGAAACAAACAAAACAAAACGAGGTTTCTTCCCAATTTCCTTCTGGCCTCAGGATTTTGGGGAGTTTTTCCTTGTCTTCGTAGAGAGCTCAGGCTGGGTCAGGAGCTGCTGCTCATATGGGCCTATAAAACCCAATTAGCAATGCATGATGTAGGCTAAATGTAATACTGAGCCATTCAAATAAACTTTAATTCAATTTAAATCCAGTGAATTCACCTTGTCTTTAGACCACAGAACATCATCATACCCTCTTTCTGATTGCATTTTGAGTTAAGTAATGGTTTGAATCTACCTCCAGGCTTTTGTCTCCATTAAGGTGACAAGATGCACAATAAATAATAGTGACAGCAGAGAACTGAAAAAATCAGCAGTTAGACGCTGTAATATAAGTGAATCAGGGTTTGTAAATAAAATACACGTGGAGTTTGGATTACTTCTCAGGCCTGATTAAAAATATTTACTCTCTGTCATTAAGAAATTTGTTTTTTAATTCATTTGTTCACTTGAAAATATTGATAATAGGTAATAATAATGAGAAGAAGAAGAAGAAGCGCTTCTTTCACAGCAATGATACTTTTAATGGGAAATTGAATAAAATGCCTCTCAAAAGAGTGACATATAAGCAAATAAAAAAGAATAAGAGACTCTTAAACAGGCAAATATAAAATGTGGGCATATGGTAAGAAACGTGTATTTCAGAGGTTTTGAAAAGTGATTTAAAAGACAGCAAACATAAGATCCTCTGGCAGGGAGCTCGGGAGCTGAAGGACCCTCTCTGAAAAGTGCTTTGAGTCTTAAAGCCAGCATTGGAGAAAGCATTTATATCCTTTGCTTAAGTTAAAGTTCCAGTACCACACTGTAAAAATACTCTGTCACAACTAAACAATTTAAGTGGTGCTTTACCCTCTGAGCCAAAGCTGCCCCATTCATTTGTAGCCTCCTCTAACTTTGAAAGTTTAGATAGGGGCTTAGAATATTATGATGAAGATGGTATATGATGGCCATCCTCATGCTCTGTTACTTCTCATAAGTCATATGTTGCAGCAATTTTCATAGATTGAATGCAAAATGTAACCATTTTGACCACTCAAGAATTGATAACAAATTGCCAAAACTCCCTTTAAAATACCACATTAAGATGTCAAGACCCTGAGGAGAGGAGCACCGCAGAGAAATCCATGCTGTGATTTGGCATCAAAAACTGTTTTTGTAAGAATTGCATTTTTCAGTAATCAAGTGGTTAGCACTTTCTGGAACCTGCTGAGTAACCCCCTTATTGTTAATATACATATGAATGCCATACTGTACATCCTCTAAATGCCATTGAGGTCTCTTGTTTGTGTTTGTAAAATTTTATGAGGCTCCGATTATCCGAGAGGTCACTATAGGTCATTTTTTACAGTGAGGTAGAGCTTCAAAACATGGTCAGTGGTCACTGTAGCTCCAGGGGCTACAGTGGGGACTAACATTCATGAGATCATCTTTATTTTGTTGCAAGTGGTCCCATTTGTTGCCTGTGTTGTAAAATTGTAATTAGCCACGAAAATCAGAGGTGAATTGGATTTATTACGAGGGATCCAGCTAGAAACAAATTATGGGTGGGCACCATTTCAAAAGTCCAAGATGTCCACCGCAGACAATTTGAAAACAAAATGAAAATATTGATTTTGGGGTTCATCGCACTCTAAACTTTCCAAAAATGTATGGTTAAGCAACTCCCCTAAGATTTTAGGGAAAGTTACAATCAGGCAATAATGAACCTGACAAATAAAATGTAAAGGGTATTATTATGATGATGATGATGATTATTATTATTATTATTATTATTATTATTAGAATCATTTGAAAAATATACTATAAAAAAAACAATTGGTGCATAAAAAATAGCCAGAATGCAGGAATGTCTGACACTCAAAATCTTAAGGGGAAGGACCCGTAGACTGTCCTCTTGATTTCTTTCCTCCATTAACATACTATATTTATAGATCATTATGGAATGATTAATTCATAGATATTTGGGAATTGATATACGGACCACTTTCTTCATGTGTTGGTTAGTGTGGTTAAATTGGATTGCATTATTAGACATTCCTGATGAGACACCGCTAAATGTTGCACAGAAGACAGATCAAGCACAGCAGCTGATCAGTCACTGGACCAAATACCAGTCCAGTACATCAGTCTATCCTCACTGATAACACCTCATTAGGCAAAGTATCCCCAGAGAAACACATTAACAGCCAGTAGTAGCAAGGCATTTATATTGCAGACTCTTCTCCAGAGCGGCTCCTCGTGCAGGGAGGTCAGTTCACTGGTCTCAGTTGCTGGGGATACAGAGCCAGAGCTCGGACTCGTCAAACCACAGAGCCACAGAGCTGCTCTCCGCCACCAGGATTGTGGCAAGTGGTCAGAGTCAGGGCTGACATCAGAGATCGCTGGGTCAGAGGTCATGGGGGGACCTGTGAGGTCGATACGAGGCTCCTGGCTGTGTCTGGACCACCAGGTCAGCCTATACAGCTGGAAAAGAGAGATGAGGCTGAGCACATCAGTCCCTTAGCTTTGAAGCAAAACTATCGAACTGTTGACTGTAGTTCAGAGGAATTTTACAACTTAATACTTGTGTTTATGAATGTATGACAGGTTTCTTACATGTTCCTTAGGTATTGGGGCAGTGGCCAAGCTGACAGCAACAATGATGATGCAGGTGAGAGCCAACAGGATGAGAGCAAAGTACAGGTAGTGGACATCAGCCAGGATTGCAGGCCGATGATCAGGCTGTCCACAGGAGGGAGCTGCATAGGAGAATTCCAGAACCATGCGGATCAGTCCCACTACGAGTCCAATCATCAGACCCCAGAATGCACCCTGAGTAACACACACAAACACACGTGCGAAATATTTAATGTAGAGTAATATGGAATCAGCAAAGTAAAAAGCCAACATTGAAATGAAAAGGAGCCCTGCGATAGTCTGGCGACCTGTCCAGGGTGTACCCTGCCTCTCGGCCGATGTCAGCTGGGATAGGCTCCAGCCCCCCCGTGACCCTCAAGATGATGAAGCGGTTAGAAGATGAATGAATGAATGAATGAAATGAAAAGGGCCTTAAGGGTCTGTACGTTGGCCTGTCTTGTAGAGTTGCCCAGTGTCAAAATCTAATTTTCATACTTTTATTTACCTGGATTTATAGCTGTATGTTGAGAGCTTACAGCTTGAATATGTAACTACGTGCTCAGGCTACAGCGGCTATGGAGATACGAAATGGAGATCACATGAACTGTAATGGGCTGCTTGTGTTTACTCTCCTACAAGTTTGCGATGCAGGTAGATCATGTTGATTGTGTATATGTGTGCGTGTGAGACAGAGACCTGCTCGTTGGCACGTGGCCAGAAGATAGCCATTAGGAACACAGCGGTAATGGGAGGAGCGAGGAAGCTGGTCACTGACTGGATGTAATCAAACAGCTGTCCACTGTTGGCTGTTTGGATGACTGGAATCCACAACAGACTAAGACACACCAAGACCAGGATGAACAATCTGAAAATACACAAAATATTATTATGCCAGCTTTGGATGAGGTCAAAATAGTCTTCAGTCATTATCAATAATATCTCGTAGAAGTAGACGTAAGGTATCCATTGGTACCAACCATGTTGGCAAAGCTTTTCAGGATGGAGGTTACATTACGCTAGGTTACAAATGCAGGGTAGATTTTGGTGAGGTAACAACTGGCATGGCCATTGTCAAAGGGGTGCCTTAAGCTCTTACCTCAAGATATCTGAATGAAAATGGGTTCTATGGGTATCCACGAGTCTCTCCTAAACTTGAGAAGGCTTGTTGCCAGCAAATGTTTTGTTCCTTATAGTACAATGTTCATTAGAGCTGTATATTTGTCTTTTTAAGGAAAAGGACAATCAGCCTATTTGAAGAAAGATGAATCTCCTAACACGTTTAAAGATACATGACACATTAAAACAGGATTGTTAACGATACCAGTGTTCATCCATGCACATCATATAATTAGTAATATTAACTGTAAAATAAGAAGCCAAAGTGTATCAGTATACGATTCTGTAACTCTCAATATTGACATCGTTTTCAACTAGCCTATTCCAGAAATTAAGTTATGGCTCATGGTTTTGTTGTACTACCCCCAAGTTTTTCAGCGGCCCCATCTGGCCCAAAAAAATAAATAAATTCCTGGGGCACCACTGCAACCGAAAGAGCAATGACTTGTCTTCAAGCTGGGTTTGTCTGAAAACAGATCTTTTGGTTTCAGGAAATTCTTTGGAAAAATGTCTGGAGGCTATGAAGTAAAGTCCGTTTTAATTGTGTAGCCCAGTATCACAAAACACAAATTCGCATCAGTGGGCCTTTTCTGATATGTACCACTGAGTCTTCACACCCCTACCTTCCAACTATCATGAGCTCCCTCTCTGAGGCTTTGGGCCTGGCTTTGTGGTAGAGGTCCAGTGTAAACAGAGTGGAGCTGCTATTAAAGATGGAGGTCAGAGACGACATCAGAGCAGCTAACATCACTGCTAGCATCAGACCACGGAGACCTGCACAGAGAGAAGGATCAAACCCCACACAATGACAACTAAACGTCTATCTGCTGATGAAGACACTGTCATACACTTGTTTAAGTCTAACACAAATATTTCATTTTAAAACAAGCTTTGCATGGGTTTGTGTGTGACTCACCAACAGGCATTAGCTCCACCACTAGTTTAGGGTAGGCGATGTTGGAGCAACCAACTGAAGCGCCACAAACACTGTTACACACTGTTGGATCCACACAACCTACTTCATCTACAAACACACACAAACACAGAGAGTAAAGACACAGTTAGTTATGGGAATTTGCTTAGCTTCCACAGTTTGTAGGCTTCTGTCTTTCTCTTAAATGTTTCAGAACAAACAACAACTTTCTGTATTAGCCACACTTCAAAATATCATACTAGGTTTGTTTATGTTGTACAGGTTGCACAGGCACTTTACATTACTGATAACCATTTAAAAATGCTGTAGTATTTTAGATTTTGGAAATCTTTCCACATCTCAGACAGTTAACCTCCAGAGACGCCACAGTGAACATTATGTCTGCTGTAAATGTATTACATGTGACTGCCTGAATGATAATGCATCGAGTTTAACATTGGATTTTTCTTCTCAAATTCAAGTTAGGGTGAGTAAATTATATACAAATAATCATTTTGGGTGTGAAGTATTCCTTGAAAAAAAAACCCCCACTGAATTTCATGCTTCCATGAATACAATTTACGTGGCAGTCCGACATGGAGGGGCAGACTGACTGACCTGGGAACAGTGCTCGGCTGATCATGCCTGGCATGACGATGAAGAACATGGGCAGCACTTTGAGGTAGCCTCCCAACACGCTGCCTGCTTTGGCATGAGACAAAGACTTGGCTGACAGAGACCTCTGGACTATAACCTGTACACACAAATGTACATAATAGTATTTGCCTTTCTATACTTATGAGGACTCTCAACTTGCTGTACTTTTTGCAAACTGTTACTTGGACTTGTGGTTTGGATTCTTATCAGTGCACATGACATTTGATTACAACAGACAAATATTTTGGTCTCACTGATTTCTAATCATGGCCTTGTTTAAAGAACTCACGAAACAGTAGCTAAATCAACTCAAGAGTGTTTATGATGTCATAAAGAAAGCACACTTTATCCATCAATTATCCAGTTATTTTACTGTTCGTCTGATCGAATGCAACTAATAAACCCTAAAAAAACAAAGACTTTGAAATGACTGATAACTTAAACCAAATATCTTCGAGTCATTAGTGTGGGTAAAGTTACCTGATCTGTGCACCAGACCCATGTAGCCAGTACAGTGAGCCCAAACACCAGACCTGGCCACGGTATATCACCTGACACAGGGTCTCTGAACAGGTGGAAGGCGTCACTACGAGGCAGGTGGCAGGTGGTGTTGGGGACTATCACCGAGGGAACAGCTGACATATAATGATCCATAAGACCCTCATACCAGCCAACTTTGGAAAACGCTGGAAAATGTACACACACACACACACACACACACACACACACACACACACACACACACAAACTTAATTTTAGAACTGAACAATTTTATACCTTGCCCATGAAGTACCCTCTAGTATTAATGTGAATGTGACAGGAAAAGAAAAGTGGGTAGAATCGATGTTTATTTCTTTCACAGGTATTTGACATAAAAATGTTCACTCAATGATATTCATTATTGGTACAAAATATCAGTTACCATCAGTTATTGAAAAACAAAAAGTTTTAATCAGCATCAATTCAGTCATCACAGGCACAATTTGTATTTTCAGTTTCCAAAAATGTCCACACAGACTTGAGTAGACTGCTACTGTGCTACTGTTTCCGCAAAGCTGGTCTCCAGCATGTTGAAGCCTTTCTTGACTGTGTGTGTGTGTGTGTGTGTGTGTGTGTGTGTGTGTGTGTGTGTCCTACCTATGAACATTAGTGCGAAGGCTCCCCCAACCATAATCACAGTCTGGAGCGCATCAGTGTAGATCACTGCTGCCAAACCACCTACAGACACACACATGTACATTTGTGTCAGAGTATTAGGACAATAAAACTGGGCTTCATGAAGAGTTTGTTTTAGAAAAGGCATAAGCAAGATGGGATCAAATCATTGTTTTAAATCACTGACTTTTACGTGAGAAAAAAATCTTGACTCAAAGTCAACTTTTCAAGAGCTTTCAAACACATCTTCTGTAGAAGTTGCCACCACAAGCATCCCAGTGGGACTCTTTATTAGTGCGGTCAATATTCTAAAATATTCTGTAATATTCTAAATTTGATTATAACACCAAATTGTAAACACAAATCAAAACAAGCAAACAAATAAAAATACATTTGATTGTGAAAATTAATATTTGGTTGTGAAAAAACAGCAGCACTACCCCTGCTGTCTGCCTTGCAAGTTCTCTTGTGGGCCACTGCACTGAATGCACTGCATGATGAGAGTCACACTTTCATTGATTGATAATGAAAAGTAGGTCAAGCTGAACAAGCAAATAATTTAACAACACTGAATAACACATTAGCGACTACTAGTGACTATGACTTTGTCATTCTGGGGACTTCTGTTCCGGAGAGCTGAGAAGTTGAAAGTGATGTAAAATAATATTATATTCAGCTGTTATTTATCTTCCTGTTCAACTCAGGTGTGTCGCAAAAGCTGTCCAACCTGGTAGTCTGCCTCCAGACTTCTGACTCACCACCTGCATTTATCTCTGGTTTGTTGTGTGATTTAGTTCACTCATGTGTTGTGGTCACTGGCTGTTTATGACAAGCAGTCAGCCGGTGAGGGCATTATAGTAGTGACAGAGTTGGTGACAATCATGAATGAGATGAACTTGACTTACAAAAATAACAACTCTTATGTAAACTGACATATCAACAGAATAACAGCAGCATGACAGATAACTCATTCTGATTGGGCAAAACAACAACCCCTGGCAAGTAGGCTGAATCAGACTGAATGAACAAAGTTAAAACAAATGGACATTCTCTATTTTCCATTTATTAATGTTTACAATAATAGATTATAATTAGTTTTTGTGTGTGTGTGTGTGTGTGTGTGTGTACCTGCCACAGTGTAAGCAGCAGTGACCAGCAGCAGTATACCAGTGGACAGGTAGAGATCCCAGCCCATTGACACCTGGATGAACATTGCCCCCGAAAATATATCTGTCTGGGTAACACACACACACACACACACACACACATATAGACAAATTATTCTGCTGTGTCTCGGATTGTACCTCATTTGTGTGTAGCTTTGGACAAAACAGTCTGCCAAATAAATAAATGTGTGAGTGTGTGTGCGTGTGTGTGTGTGCCTTACAGATATTTTGGTGAAGATGTAGAGGATGAGTGACAGAACAGACATGTATATGCGTATCCTCTGGCCTCCAAAGCGTTTGGCCAGGTATTCAGGCATGGTCACCACACCAGCAGAGATATAGACAGGGATGAAGATCCACCCCAGAGCCACCAGGACCCACGCTGCCTACACAAACACACACACACAGGCTCAACAACACATTGTCAGCATTGTCTGCTAATGTACTTTATTGTCAATATAACTTCAGTAGACAAGGTCGATATTATGAGTCATGTCAAGCTGGTCTGAAGAATGCAAATGGTTTTTACATCTGGCCTCACCTCTCTCAATTCTATATACATATATATATATATATATGTATAAAGAAGAGATGAACAACAGGTCGCCCCATTTCTCTTCCATAATCACACATATAGTGTCAGACTGTGTTCCTTACATTCCATTCAAATCCCCCAACAGCGATTCCTCCGGCTGCTCCTGTTCCCGCCAGACCAATAAACAAACCGCTGCCAACATTACTGGACATCAGAGACGCTCCAATCTGTAAACATATTGATAATACTCAATAACAACAAAAGCTTGTATTTACTTTCACAAATAAGATGCTAGTTCAAAAATTCAAAAAGTGTATTTATAGATGATATGAAGTAACTGTTCTGTAACGTTACGGCAGGTGTAAGAGCAGCAAAATGTAACTGTTCACTACAAAACAGACCAAAAATTCAGGCAAAAGAACAGCACACTATGTTGACAAAGCCTTATTGTATACAGTACAATATAGCACATTAACATGGAACTGAGGACCAAACATCACTTCAGTCAGAAGTTTGGTACTCACAGGCCACCAAGTCATTGAACGGCCAGCCAAGAAGTACCCCCTCACAGTGGTGCGATTAGCTCGCATTGATGACTGTAGAAGGGACAGAGGTACAGGTTAGGCCAGCAGTACACTTAAAACTGAAACTAATGTGTTCTAATGTGTAATATCACACATCTGATACTGATACTATCCAGGGATAGCACCTGATTGTGTTTTAGGATGCTATATCAACATTTGTGGAATCCAAAAACCAGTTAATAGTGAAATTTGACCAAGTACACTGTTAGCACACTGGGGTTTAACAAACTATCACCAACACCTGTCCACCTGAGATAGGTCTTCAGGTATTTTAAAGATATTATGAAGAGTGATGGTGATGGTGTGAGTGTGAAATGAGTTGAGCCGTTTACCCAGATTCCAACCACCATGACAAAGACAAAGTAGACGACAACCACAGCGATGTCTGCAGCATCCACACTGATACCTGGGCGGGGTGGTGCTGCAGTGGTCAACCCAGAGGAGCTGCTACCTGCAAGCCAAGTATAGAGTATCATGTCACAATGATAGCATATTCTTCTCTTAGACAGAAACACTACATGCAGCAGCTATGTAAAAAAAATCAAAGCAAACAGAAGAAATATAAGAACAATACATAAAAGACAAACTGTCACTCAACAAGACCATAGAGGATGCCAGGATGTCAGCTGTGACAGCAATGGGGTTAAATTTCAGACTAGCGTGTGGGAAAGATTTGTCTTCTGCAATGTAATATTACAAGTACAATATAATATTTTATTCCTAACGACTTAATTTGCCATCTAAAGATTTGCTCTACAGAACATGTAGTCCTGTCTTTGAGCACAAAAATTATATATATATATATAATTATACTTTATGTTATTTATTGTAGAATTTTGGTGTTTTTTCTGTTGGAAAGGGGCTTTATCTTGTGTAGTTTTGGTTATACACATAATTTACTTCCTGTGCATCTTTAAACTTTCTTCTCCAGGTGGGCCTAAACATTTTTAGACTGCAAAAAGATTAATATGTTTCTAAATCATAATGTCATATCGATAACGTCACAACAGAGAAATATGACATGAACATTATGGACAGCTGTTAAAAGATGCTTGACTCATCTCTTCTCTTGACTTGTCTGAAATACTGGTTACCTTCTCTTTTACTCTCTGAAATCCGTTGTCTTTTCCTCATGCAGGGTCTTTTCTTAATGTGCAAAATGTGGACACACTAATATTTATAACTTGTACGCAGGAAATGGCAATAAAATTGAAAATAATCATACTCTTCTGGAAAGTGGAAGTCCGTCCAGTTACTCAGAGCTCTATGATGATCATGTTAAGTCCAGTCAGAGCTCTGAGGAAATGTTAGGTGCAAAAACAAATACTCCAAAAGTGCACAGAAATTAAAGATATGAGTTTTATTCCTGTAGCCTTGATCATGGAGGGGCAGTTTGTTATTTGAAGGTGTTGTGGTGTGTTGTTATTGAACTAAAAGATATGTTGCTGGCATTAACAGTGAGTACCTACAGCACCTTGCATCAACAGGGACCAAAGATACATCTCTCAGCTGCTTCTTCCTCATTATACCCCTCAGCCAAGGTGTCCAAAGCAAAGGTTTTTGTCTTCCTGGGGCTGAAGGTAACATAGTAATACTGCTGTTGTTCCTGTTAAGAGCTGCTGAATCAGCTGTTTTAACACAACCCTGTTTGGTTTGTATCTCAGCTTCCACCTGTGTCCCTGTCTTACTCTGGAGAACTATCTATAAAATCTGCTTTTCACATGCCATAAAAACAAAGCTTGTTGTCGTATAAGCAGTCGTCCACAGAGCCAACAACATGAGTTAAAGAAGGTTCAGACCTGTAGTCGGACTGGCAGACATGTTGATTCCAATCTTCCAGATCGTGTTGACTTCTCACAGACACTCAGTGTTTCTCCAGTGTTTGAGTTCCTGTGACTCTGTGACAGAATTAGTCGATCCTGCTGGTAACCCTGACAGAGGTGTGTGAATCTGTGCAGTCGACCTGAGGCTTAATTATTAATCAGTTTGTTATCGAAACAGGCAAACTGCACTGGTTAGCTATAATTAGTGAAGACTGACCAACATGACAGTACATGTTCTGTATGTGTAGCCTATAGTATTTAGTTTGATTCCATATTTAATTGGTCAGTGCTACACAGGTCACTGACAGCTGGAAAAAGAAAGTAATATGTTCCTACTTAATACTTAAGTCATTCAAAGTGTGTAAACCTGTCATTAAGTTGTATATTAACACTTAGTCATTCAATAAAGAAGCTTCCAAAGTCCCTTAGCAAAGAAATAAAAAGAAGGGAAGCATGTTGTCCAGGATGTTTTGCTACATGGTGATGCATTTAATTAGCGCTGGATCTACACAGAAGGCTTAAACATTTACACATCATCCATTACATCAGACATGTTTTCATGCATATTGAGTACATAACCACCTACTTTATGTATAAAAGCTAATTTATTACCCATTTAATGTTCCTTTGCACTGTTGGTCTTAGTTTACAATCTATAGATTTTACAGAAACACCTGAATTGTATAGATATTGTATGTTGGTCAGTTGCTTTTCATACCCAGTACTGGTATGTATATAAACTTACTTTTTCTCCAAATTGTATGTGTAGTACATAATAGTTGTGTGTGTGTGTGTGTGTGTTTTTTTTTTTTTTTTTACCTATCTTTGTTCAGCACATACTTGGCCTATAAAGCTGACTCTGATAAAGGTGATCAGCACATCAGCAGCAACTTCAGCTATTTGTCTACATGAGATGCGTTCAGGCACAGTATTGAGTGTAGGTCACCCACATAAAATGAAGAAAAAGATATCTTTCCCAAACTGTTTTCTTTATGCTCCCCAAACTATGACCCTCTTGGAATTAAACTGCTTTCAAAAAAACAACTCAGTGTATTTTGTCATTTTCACAGAAGTTTATTACATGAATTCTTTATACAGCATAAAGTTACATTTACAGCCAACTCGACTTCATCATCATCATCATCATCATCCTTAGAGGGAACCACCTTTGCTTCTCCTCATAGTTTAGGGGGTCCATACAGCTTCCATCCCTCCATCTTGCCGATTTTTGTGAAGAAGGCCAGTGTACCCAGACCCAGACACGCTGACGTACCGGTCATAGCACTGTGGGCTGGACACACAAACACAGCAGGTGATATGGCTGCAGTTAGGTAAACTTTTGACATATTTTTTCACCTTCACCGCCATAAAACAGCTAGCTAAGTTACCGCAGAGTGACTGTTGAACACCAACAACCACATCATCGTCATTACTGCAGAGATTTTTCAACCAGGTCATAGGATAAATCTGTGCTCTTCTGTCAGCTTTAGCTTTATGTCTATTACATGTGACCTTTCCAGAAAGTACATTAATTTCACAGCTTTTTCCTTTGTTTAATGCATTCTCTGTCGACACAATCTTCAAGTGCACAACCTTAGATTATGGTTGTAATGCTTGTGTGTATTCGTGTTTGAAATGTTCCTTATGTTTATAATGAAAATAGTTTACCAAAGTTGGCTGTGGGTAAAATGATACCTCAGTCCCCAGCAAGACAACTTAGCATATGACTGGACAGAGCTACACGCCCACTCATTACTGTATCAACATCATTATCTTAAAAGGTCAGTTTTGTCTGAATGAACATCTCAGTGCTCCATGTCTCCACTGAAAAACATTTTAGTGATCGGAGCAACCTCAATATTGGCGGACCTGAATCGATTTCTAGGTCACCGGCTGGGGGACGGAGGAGTGAAATCGGGAGGAAGCAGAATTAGCTGAAAGGAAAGCACCTCGTGTCTCCTCTGCCAGGACTGATACTTACTTCTTGCTCCCAGAAAGATCCCAGAGGCACAGCCCCCGATGAAGTAATTCAGCGGGTCATCCGGGGTACCGCGAGCCTGAGCACTGAGACAAGTCGCCATGCCGAAAATGGCTCCCACGGAGGCTGGTACAACAAAGACAGACACCCATAATCAGCATTACACAATTTGATACAATTTGTTGAATCCATTGAACAGTACGTCAACACATTTAGACCAAAAGGTTTGACTGGGATTTTAACTATAGGATAATGCAGAAGAACATCTGCAAGGTTTTCATGACTTATCTGGCAGGAGAAATGTTTCCCTTGATTATCGTGTTTTTAAGCAGTGGAATTTGGGACATAAACTGCGTGAACTAAAATAATGATGAATGATGACATGAATATTTACCCATGGTTACAGTTGTGTTGGTCACCCTCTGTACTGCGGCCAATGCAGATTCAGGCTGGAATGCCACTAAGTGATAGGCTGACCCAACCAGGCCTGAAAGCACACACAGACACCCGCACACATTACAAACTTGTAATATAGTCCCACTTCTAATGTTGATTTACCATGAATTCTCAGATAGAGTCAAACTGTGTCTGCAGTAGCATGAGACACTGTAAGACCTGAAAATTGGCTCTGAATTCTTAGCCAGACCAAATCCTGATTGCTTACTTATTTTTTTTCTGGTTTATTATCATTTTGTGAATTTTTTTATTGTATTGTGGTCAGGAAAACATGATTTTGCTTGTGTTAAGACAACATCAAACACTAGTGCACCGTAAATCTAATACGATACATTGTTTGATGTCACAATATCGATATAATATCAATATATGGCCCAGCCCTGATGTGTGTGTCATCAAACCAGTCTAAATGTCGAAGTGTTTACAGGTGTTTTAAATGGCCTTCTTATATTATATCTATAAAATGGCACACATAAAATGACTATCATCACCTTTATTAATGTGCAGCCCAAATCTAACTCCCTGAGCTTTTCTGCAAAACTATCTGTTAATCAGCCAGATGTCAGATATCAGATCAGTCAAACAATAAAACTTCAGACTGCGTGACTCTTCACAACACCTGCGTTAATGTGTGTTGTTAGCTCCCTGCTGGCAGCGACAAACTCACCAGACTCAGGTTACATTCATTAACTGTTAAAGATTTTAGAAAACCCTGACTGAAAAAAAACCGCGGTCAACTTCACCCTTAAAAAGGCAAAACAAAATGTGTTTATCTAAACACTGCTAACTGTCAGTCTGTGGCTAACCTGCTAGCATAAAAGCGTTAGCATTAGCTACAACACATAGCTATCTTTCATGGTCCAGAGCAGCAGCCTGCATCTATGCCCGGCACCGTTCACAGTAGTTTAAACAATGCTGATATTTACCCACAGCTGTGGCCACTTTTGTAGTGATCCATGTCTTTTCCACACAGCCAGTGCCCTCTGGTATATCCCAGTACCCCATCTTGTACTTAGCAAGGACACAAGCCAGGATGTAAGTCTCGCGAGAAACGGTTTCCTCGTATATTTTGTGGCGGCTGGCTACCCAGTGTTCAGTGCATTACCGCCACCTACTGGAAGGGAGTGTGAATCTGTGAACCGGCACCATCACATACCGTGTAAAGTACTCACCAACCGATGTCTCGGCCTTTCTATGCCTACCTGCCAGTAAAAGCAGCCGCCGAAGGCGTTTTGTTTTCAGGGTGTCCGTCCATACAATGTGATATCTCAAAAAGGCCTTGAGGGAATTACTTCAAATTTGGCACAAACGCCCACTCGGACTCAACAAGGAACTATTTAGAGTTTGGTGGTCATAGGTCAAAGGTCAAGGTCACTGTGACCATGTCTGTTTCATTCTCATGACCGCAGTATCTCAAGAACACCTTCAGGGAATTTCTTCAAATTTAGCAAAAACATTCACTTGGTCTCAGTGATGAAAATATTTGATGTTGGTGGTCAGAGGTAAAGGTCATTGTGACGTTGCATCCGACATGAAATCCTAAGAACACCTTGAGATAATTTCTTCAAATTTGGTACAAATGTCTGTTTGCACTCAACAATGACCTGATTAGAATCTGGTGGTCAAAGGTCACTTTGACCTTGCGTCCGTGTCATACTCGTGAACGCAATATCTTAAGAGGTCCTTGAGAGAGTTTTCTCAAATTTGGCACAAATATCACCTTAATTTCAAGAATGAACTGATTAAAATTTGGTGGTCAGAGGCCAAAAGGTAAAGGTCACTGTGACCTCACAAAACATATTTTTGGCTGTAACTCAAGAATTAATTCGCTACTCATGATGAAATTTCACACAAAGGCCTGATAGGATAAAATTATGTCATTATATGTCCAAAAGGTCAAAGGACCCCCAAATCCCCCCTTTTACACCCTTGTCTGCTCCCAACATTCATTTGTATTGTGTAAAAAGGTTTCCTTTTTAGTAGTACTGTATTTACACAACAGTATTTTGGATTTCAGCAGAGTACAGACAATCTGTATTCCATCTGTGAAGTCAATGCTCTGAGTAGCCTTTAAAAGCATGTTTGTGATTAGAGGATTTATTAAACCTGTCACCGTAGAGTACAGAGATGACAAGCTGCTGCTTACTGCAACACATCAAGGTCAGTTTCTTGCCTCTGTCATATCTAATGACCTATAAACTATGGGCATTTGCAGCCCAAAGAGCCATCAACATTTTTCAACAGCAGAAATTAAAGAGCGTAAAACTTTAAATCAGTTTATTAAGTCAACATGGTGCCTGGTTCCAGCTTTAGCAGGGTATTTACAAAGAGCTCCGCCCGCTTCATCAGTCATCCTGCCATTCAAATGTCGATGGTCTGGGTTTCATTGTCCCACAATTCAGGCTTCTGGAGGAATCACTTCTTTTGCCAAGAAAACAATTCCAATCAGACCAGACTGTACATGGACAAACGGAAGCTTCAAGTGAGAGTCTGATGTTTATGGTCATTGCCCTCGTGTCACGTCAGTCATGCTTTACAGTAAATCATTTCTTTTTCCAGAACTGGCTGTATTTGTCAGCTTGGAAGTCGTCTTCAAATTGGACTGTTGTCTGTTTTGTCATCTTCTTCAC